ATTCATAAAGATATGAAATTTGAAAAATTTTAAACCAATATTTAAATGATAAAATTATTAGAAATATATCATATGTATCAAACTTATTCAAAAACGAATACGAAAGAATAGTTAATCGATTATTAAATAATTCGAATAATTAATTTATTATACTATAAGTATTTTGTACTAATAATGGAATTTAATATTTGTATGGAATAATAAAAATATTATAAAATAATTAATATGAAAATATATTGACATAATTTGTTTAAATACATTTTTTATTTCACATCTAATTTTAAACAGATAAATTTATAGAAATCAAAAACGTATATATTTAATTAATGCCAAGCCAATTTTTTAAGGCCAAGAGTTTTGTTTCTTCTTTATAAAGCTAGCGATTTTTTGACAGTAGATTAGTTCCAACTTAGAAAAACCCTAAACAGTTGATGCATGCTAAGTTAACATCTCCTGACAGATTGATAGATTATCAATATAAATGACAGATAATTTAATTTTTATTAATAAACAATTCTGAATAACTTGAATATTCGATTACTATTTGAATAATTCGATTTGAATAAAACAAGTTATTTATTTGAATTACTAGTTTTATTCAAATCGAATAATTATATTTTCCAGTTCTTTATCATCTTTTTAAAAAAATTTATTTCTTCATTTTCATTTTTAGTAAGAACGTTTATATTAATAATATATACTTTTTAATTTTCAATTTTCAGAATGCAAATATAAAAAAAGATAAATTTTCTAATTAGTGCTTTGATTATGTTTTTAAATATTTTTAAATTACGCAAAGTTATGAGAAATCTTTCTAGAGGTTAAATTTAATCAAAATACTATTCAGAAAGTAATTGTTATATCTTCTAGACCCCAATTTTCGTTAATCATTTGAAACAAAAATCAGGACTTAAAAATAATTGAAAACGTTATTTATCATAGATAAACAGATTTTGCAATAACATGCGAAAAGAAAATTAATTTTTATAGAAATATTTATTTGGTAGTCATTATTGCGCTGAACCGTTTAACATATGCTATATATTTTAAAAAATCACTATTAACGATGATTAAAAAAGAGAAGATTATTACAATGGGCTTAAATATAACTATTCAATTATATGCAATACCGGTCCTTTTAGAGAGATCCCTTTCGAAATAAATTATGATAATTTTATTGGGATAGTATAATCAGAAATAATAATTAATCTTTTCGCCCGTGTCCTAGGTCAGCTTAATACTATATAGCCAAAAAAGTAAAATAAAATTTTTTTTAAAAAAAAACTTTAAAAAAAAGAAAAAAAATTATTAAAAAACGAATAAAAACATCAAAATACGAAAAATAACAAATCCACCAAATACTTGAAACAAACCAATATCCTCGTTAAAACTTTTTAGCCCCTACTAAAAAGCAATTAAGTATCGAAATTAAGCCGACCTAGGATAATCTTTGTACTGATTTTTAAAAGAACTGTTAAATATCCATGTAGCCCAGTGATAAATGGAAGAGTTCAGGGTATTGGAAATCTGACCTTTGTAAACGGTATAATAAACGCTTCAAAATAATAAGATTTTTATCCAATCATTTATTCCTTGCTTTCTGATGTCGCAAGTGTAATTGGGCACCATGTCATGGTGTGTAATAGATTAAAAATAGTTATCCGACGGCAGGATTAATATTTTGGATGGCCAGTATCGACCCCTAATTTAAATTCAACTAAAAATTAATAGGCTATCTTGAAAAAATAAATAAAATCTGCCCTAGTAATTAAGATTAAGCTGAAGAAAACAGAAGATAAATGGAATTTAATTACAAAGGAATCATGCTAGGATCCTATAAACAGTGTACAATGGCTAAAGGCTAAAAGCTGTAACATTGTTAAAAAAGCCAATGGCAGTATTTCTAAAAATTAAATCCAAATGGACGATTATCTATTAATAATAAATGAAAGTTATTGTAATATATAGATATTTCAATATGCAGAAATTCCATTAGCATAGCCAGGCCCTGATTTTTTTTAAAATTTTTAAATGTATTATTTTTATTTTTTGATAATTGCGATATAAAATATTCAGTATTAAAATATTTGACCAGACCCGAGTATTTTTTTAAAAAAATTAGGCCCGGCCTGGATATATTTTAAAATATTTAATCCCGGACTGGGCTTAGGGCCGGGCCTACAGGTGTATGATATATACTATATTAAAAAATTCAAATATTTTGTTCAAATTGAGCATTATTTTTTTAATCGCAAATTTTAAAGTGGTAAAAATATAATGATAAGTAAATTAGCATAAAATTAGGTAGCATATAAATTACTTAACTCTGAATTTATAGCACGCAATTTGTTCAAGAGACACGAAATTAATAGCTAAGAAAATCATAGCTGATTCGCATCATTTCGCTCCATAATTTATAAATTATACATATTATTGGCTTGCTTTTGTAAATTAAGCAGCGAAGAATTAACGGTTTGAGCAAATCGCACTTACTATAAATGAGGCTGTTACTTCTAAAAAAATTTAATGGATTCTGGTTCCTATAATTTTTAAAAGATGTTTCCAAATTCTGATTTCGATGGGTAGATTGATCCGTGTTATTCCTCTTGGTTCCAAACTCTGATTATATTTTAAACTTACCAAATTGTTCTCATAAACAGATTTTAAAAATAGATCAATGTTAAATCATACCTAATAGGATTCCACATCCGGCTTAATTAACAAATAGCTAAAGACTAGATTTCAATTAAAAATTTTCTAATATGTGTAATTTTATGAAATAATATGTCCAGACAAACTTTTACATATTTCATATTTTAGATTTACAATACTTATTTTAAAAAAAATAACAACAATACATTATCAATTTAAAGCTAATAATAAATATTTATCAATAAAGTTAAAAATGTTAGTCAATTCAAACTCCAAAACGTTAAATTAAAATTTTATTTTAAAAATGTTAAAATATAAAAAAGATTATATAAAAAGCAGTTAAACTCGTTTGCCCTCATTTATTTAATAAAGATGACTAAACGCATGTATTGATTAAATGTCACAAATTGGTACAAAATTTATTATAGATATTAATAATTAATTTAATTTTAATTATATTTGTGAATGATTATTTATGACCCATTCAATTTTTTTTTAAATTATCATTAACTCTGGGCAGATATCAAATTGATGATATTTATTTATATATGATTAAATATATTCAAAACTCTAAAATATACTCTTTTTTCCCTGAGGCCAAAGCTATCAAAACTCTAACCATTATCTTAACAAGTAGATTACGCTATTTTCAAATTCCCAGCTTATGAGTGCACACATATAATTTTCAGCTGAGGATAATCTCTAATCTTCATCAATTCTAGCTCAAAATAATCGGGATAAATTATTTTCCAAATTTTATTAATTATACAATTAAATTTGAAAGGTTAATTTCACAATTACTTTTAGATTTTTAAAAAAAATTAAAATAAGACAGTGAGCACAGTAGTTTTCTTGACTTTTTATCATGATATATAATACTTATTTAAGAGTTTAACTAAACAAAATATGCTTAATAAACAAATGCTGTAGATAGAAATTATCTACATATGCTATTAATTAAGTTCTGATTTCTCTTCTTATGAAATATGTAAGGAGGTAATTTAAATATTAACCTTAAATATTAGATTAATAAAAATTTCCTTCCTACACCTCTAAAATACAATATCACTATAATTAAGAGAAAAATTAGCAAAGGTTAATCACTTTTTAATATAATCACTATAATTCAAAATTTTTAGAAAAAGAGTGAAAACCCAAATTATCTTTTATAAAAATCTAATGTAGCCAAAGGCCTACAATAAGTACCGACCTCCAATAATTTATAGACGACACCACACCTAATAGCCCCCTTCACTGCAAAATCCTGGCTATACTATGGGCATAATTTAATAGTTCTGAAAATTTAAAATCGATACTAAATTATTTTGAAAATAAATCATTGATTAAACCGTTATAAACATATGTCAGCTAAAGGATGGTAAATTTTGGGAAATATTAATATTGACAAAATGGGAATATTTTTTTCCTAACAATTTTTAAAATAAAATATTGACCTAAAATAAATTTTATAAACAAATTAAATCTCAAGGTATATCTAAAATTTTTCAACCCACTCTGATCGTCATCGAAAATAAAAGTATTTACGAATCAACAATTATTTAATTGTTATGACATAATCATTTTTTTTAAATTAAAAAAAGTCATAAATATAATTTTTAATTTAAAATATAGAAAATGGCGAGATAAAAATTCAATTTCATAAAGGCATTTTGCAAATATATATAAAAATAAGAATAAATATAGTATTAAAATACAATTTTTATCATTTTAAAATAGTATATTATTGAAAAAACCATTAAAATGTGATAATAAAAAAATCAAGTACCGAAAATAAATGCTTACGAAATTTATGTTTATTTTATCAAAGTAAATGACAAGGATTAATAATTAATTTAACTAAAATCTTAGATTGCAAATGCAATAATAGATAGTATTATAATAAGTTATGGCTTCGCTCATTTCGAAAGTTGATTAATTCGACTAATTTAATTATAATATTCAATCGGTGAGGAAAAAAAATAATAATACTGGATCCAAGCCATATTTTTTATTTTATCGAGTAAGTTAAAACATAGAAGATGTAATATATTATATATTAAAAATATATAACAAAAAATTAAATTATAATTTACATATAGATGATTTTCTGTGAAACATAAATATATTCATTAAATAATTTAATACAATTTTATTCCTCCATCTAAAAGCTATGGATTTCTAAAGATATGCGTATGCGTAATTACACATTGGTTATAAGAAAGAGAAGAAGAGAATGTTTGTTATAGTATAGTATATAATATTTATTTTTAAAAAATCATGTTCATATAATGAATTCACAACATATTTATAATTCAATCTAAAAAATAAATTTTTAGTTAGTTAAAATATTATGAAGGGGAGAATTCAACTGTTGATTCAATTATAGAAGGTAAATTCAATAATTTGCAAGCAGCACTACTCTTTCTTTCAGATCGCCTTAGATTTCCTGGACTGATGTACGATTTCATTTCATTATTTTGAGATGAGTTCTCTTTGTTCTTAATTATTAAAAAACAAATATTTATTGATTTTAAAATTTATAAAACATTATTATCGTATACAGTTTTAATTTATAAATAATCTGGCGTCACTACCTACAACGTGCTTCTAACTTTTTCAATAAAAAAAAGAACGTTTTATTAAATTTTCGTAAAAAAAATAATTCCTTATCATACAAAACAAATATCGATCCAAGATATCTGATAGTAAAAAAACCTAGAATTTTCTTTCAAGATTGTAGCTCTATACTTCTTGTGGGCATTTTTATTTGGTATATATTTTTTTTTTAATTTTAAAAATTAATAAACATAAAAGTGGTGACACGAGGATATATCCAAGCTAATTTTGTAATAAAAAAAGGCGAAGAAAAGAAAACTCCCTTTCATTAATTAGTACTAAGAAGACCCGTTACCGGCTCAAGCAAATTCTTATCTATTTGGATCCTGCCAGATCTATTAATAGTTCTTACAAGTTACAAGAGAGAAAGCATATAATATTGTCAAGGTTCCAAGTTAATTCAGAGAAAATTTTATAGCGGAACACTTTTCGCGAAACTTTTACCGCGAATGTTGTTTATCGCGAATGGATTTTATAGCGATACTTTTATCGCGAATCCATATTTGCGAGTATTATTCCGCGAATTTTTTATAGCGAACCCTTTAAAGTGAATACATTATATCAAAACTTCTATCGCGATTCAATAATCGAGAAATTTTATAGCGAAGTCATTACAGCGGAACCCAAATCGCGAAGATAATATAGCGAAAACTATTTTACGAAACATATATCGCGAATTTATTATCAAGAGGCATTGCGATAATTGCCAATAGTGACTATTTTATTTTGAAACATTTATTTTAAAATCATATTAATTAAATAATATTTTTAAAAAAATAGGTACAAGATTGATTGTGATAGAGTTTTTAATTTTCTTTTAGCCTTAATAAATTTATATAATGATTAATTATTTGGTTTATAAAACATATCATGGATATTTTTGTATCCTGCCCTATCCTTATTTTAAGAATCGCCCAAGAAACATAGTAGTATTATTAAAAAGCCCGATTTGGTCGATTTTTAAAAAAGACCCGATTAAGATTTTAGCCAAAATAATATTGTGTAAGATTCAAGATTTGGCAAGTATAAGCCCTAATCTTTCTGCAATCTATGAGCAAAGTCACCAGGTATACACAATATTATTTTGGTTGTAATCTTAATCGGGTCGTTTTCGAGCTTTTTAACACTCGAACTTAGGTCTTATTCATATATTTATTATTGCATTCATTAGTTAAACCTTGATCCCTATTGGCGAGATTGATATCTGCGTTGCGCCAATATTTATTGTCTGAAGTACTTATATTTATAAATTCATCAGTTTTACCAGTCACTAACCAAAAATAGTTATAAGCCATTAAATAGTTTCTCGAATTTTGAATGGCGATTCAAAAATAAATTACATCTAAGTATACTGATTACTATAATTCAAAAATTTTTTAATCTTATGATTTTGTGATCTTTATAAATATTATTTTATTTCTTCTGTTTACTTAGATATAAAATATTAGTTCAAAAAATTTGAATCTAATATTAAGACGCAGCCTTAAGCATGAAGTTTGCCAAACTCTGATAAGAACTAATCTGATGCTTAAGCCTATTAAGTAGAATATATATAGATTAGTACTACAAAAGATTGCTAGGCAAATATTTTAATTTTCTCAGAATTGAATTTCTTAGAAAATATAATATTTCTCTCAGAAATTTTTACTATTTTATTTATTTTAAGTGAATAAGCATGATTTTTAGTCTTTTAAAATTAATCATTTATATCTTAATAACTCAGAAAATTTTAAAAAAATTACTTAACTATGATTTTTAAAAATAATCTAAGATCAGCAAAAATTCTTAGCTTTATTTTTTTATTTTTATCGAAAAAACTTAGTATTTCAGAATATTTTTTATAATTTATTTTTAATGGCATAAAGCACATTTTTAAAATTTATGTTGGAGTGGGGGGAGGTTGGGAGGGTAACATTATTGAGTTAAAAACTTAAACCAAAATGTCCCCTCTGTGCTAGCAACGATGAGTGAGAGAGACCAGGAAACTGGCTAATTTATTTTCAATTACATGATATAAAGGTTACATGCTTACATAATAGACAATAAGTAACAAAATATCGTATAAATATTTCGCGTTTATGATTTAAGGAATTTTGGTGAATAAATTGATATTTGAACATGTTGTTTTCCTTTAAATAAATGAATTCGCGATATATTTAATGTTTCGCAGTAATGCGATCGCGATAATGGCTTCCCACTATTCGAGATAGAAAATTCATTATAAAGGATTCGCGATGTTTCGCTAAAATGTATTCGTTTTAAAGTATTCGCGGTTTTTTGTGGAAATAAATTCGATATTGTCTTCGTTATAATGTTTCGCGGAATTGGTTTCGCTATAAAATTCCGTCGCGATAAATCGCTGAATTTACCTAATAGGATTGTCAAAATTACTTAATCAGTCAATTTAGGTAGACTGAAAAAGCCAGGCAATACGCTCTTTGTTTAAAAAATATTTGACGTGAATTGACTGAAATTTGCTTTTAGATGAAAATTTCAATAAATATATTTTATTTCTTTCTTTAGAAATAAAATATTTTCTTTATATATATTAATATTGCTATAATGCCTGAAATTTTTATAGATATTATGATAAAAATTTGTTTTTAGAAATCTCAATAAAAATATCGATATCTCATTTGTTTTAATTAAAAGGACACAAGTTACAACTCGCATCTTGAATATACCCCAAATAATATATAATATATATTTACAAAATGAATTATATGGTAAAATATATTATTGGCATGATATATAGGAATGACATCTGATTTCTGGTTTTACATTTTAAATGAGATTTAAAACATTCGTATTAAAGAAGCCTAATACCAGCACAATTGCACCTAGCAAACCGTTGATCCACACATTTTAAATCTATTTTTACAATTTCCTAATTCGATTTTAGTTTCAGATCATTTTTCATCAATAATTGAACGCATAAGCCAAATTGATTCCGTGAGTATTTGCTTTACAACCATGCCGAACTGCATTTCTATAGAGATCATTTTTATCCTTATCCAATATAACGAATCTCAGGAAAAAAATTCGATTGAAGAAACTGCTTGAAAAAAAACCTGATGGAAAAAAACTACGGAAAAAAACTTCCGAAAAAAAATAAAAATATGTGGAAATCTTTATTGAACAATATTTAAATGGTAAATGTATTATATATTAATACAGATTCATTCAGTCACCCATTTATTCATTCATTGTTTCAAATATTTTATATCTTCATACATAGTATTTATAGACAATAAATATATTGTTAATAGCAAATTTTCATCAGTATTTAATTTCCTAAAAGAAAAAAGGACTAAATTTTAAGTCCGCAAGTTTTTTTCGGCAGTCTTTTCCCAGTCCCTATTTTTTTCTGCAGTTTTATCAGTAGAGATATCCACAGGCTTTTTAGATTACCAATATAACACCCATTATGTTACGAGGTCGGTGCAGCCCACCTATAGGGTCTTGAGTAATCGTATCGCTCATGCGATGTATTCGTTGAACTGTGGTATAGCTGTATAATTTAACATTATGTATTTTGTAATTTACGCACGCTTGCATAACGGTAATTCGCGCTCTATAAATAAGGCATAATGCCTCGTAGGCAAGTGGAAAAGATTTTCCGGCCAAGTCATGCAACTTGCTCAAAATACTTTTAAAGGTTGGGTCTGAGGTTCATTAAGCAAATTTTTCTTCATAAAAAATTATTACAGGAAAAATTTACATTTATTTTGTAAACAAGGCTAGGTAAATTTAGTCATATTATCATCAGATTATATATGATCATTCCTTTGGTGGTTTAACAAAGTGCTTTCAGCTAGTCTTCTTTTTCATAATCTCTTGATATAATCTTTCTAATAATGCGAAATCTAGCTATAAATTATTTGAATCTGTTTCGCGTGTCTTATTTTCAACATCCAATCTTATAGGGTAATCTTCATCTTTTCTGTAATTGTAAGGGTGGCGTTGGCGTATTTGTTGCAGAGAAAGGGGTGGACAAAGTAATCGAATTAAGAAGACTAGATAACCAGATAATGATGTAGAAAGCTATGCAATATTATTTCGGTATATGTTCATCAGGTTGGAAGAAGTGAAGAAGAGAAAGATACATTATAGCGGCAAATGAAGAGGGTATTATCCGGACTGGTGATCTGAATGGATATGTGGGAGCGGATAGTGAAGGTTATGAAGGAGTACATGGAGGATTTAGTTATGGCACGAGAAATCTGAAAGGGAAGAGAATTTTGGATTTTGGTGATGCTATGGATATGATGTTTGTATTACAATGTCTAAGAAAGTATCAGAGAAACTGATGACTTACAAGTCGGTTAGTGTTAAAAGTGCGATGGATTATTTGTTAGTAAGGAGATGTGAGGAGCATAGTAAAAAATGTGTGATACCGGAGGTATAATGTATTGATCAGCACTGACTACTTATATGAGATTTCACTTTTAAAGGAGCCAAGATCACTAAAAGAAAGTTTGCATTAAAACTCAAGGTTTGGAAATTGAAGGAGAATGCTAGACGTCAACTCAATATGGCATTAGCGATAAGAGAGGCGGAGGTGGCACAAGAATCTAGAGTAAATGACAAGTAGGTGGCCATGAAGCAAGCCTGGGTAAGGACAACTGAGTAGGTATGTGGATGGACAAAAGGGCCGTCTAGACATAAGAAGACATGGTAGTGGAATCCGGAGATAACGAAAGCTGTGGACGAGAAACAAGGGTGTTTCAAAAAATGATAAAATAGTAAAGGAAATAGTGATAAATATATTTACAAGGTGGTGAAAAGAAATGCAAAGAAATTATAACGAAAGCATACAGTATTATAAATGGCACATCAAATCTGATATCATGCTGGTAGTGCTTGCTATCCAAGTTAGTGT